ATTTCGTAGTGATAATGCCCTAGAGTATTTGTCTTCCCCATTTCAGCAGTTTTTGAACTCCCATGGGAAACATCTTGTCTGTACACATCCCAACAAAATGGGGTAGCTGAAAGAAAGAATAGACATCTTATTGAAACTGCTCGTACCCTACTTATACAATCTCATGTTCCGCTGCATTTTTGGGAGATGCAGCTCTTACATCTTGTTATCTTATTAATCGTATGCCATCTTCAGCTATCCAAAATCAAGTTCCATTCTCTGTCCTGTTTCCCCACTTACCTTTGTTCTCTCTTCCACCCCGTGTCTTTGGGAGTACGTGCTTTGTTCATGACCTTACTCCAGGAAAAGATAAGTTAGCTCCTCGTGCTCTTAAGTGCATATTTCTGGGTTACTCGAGAACGCAAAAGGGATATCGATGTTATTCTCCTGACCTTCAGCGATTTCTTATGTCTGCTGATGTTACCTTCTTTTTGAAACTCAATCATACTTCACAGGTCCAGTTAATCACTTAGATATTTCTGAGGTGCTACCAGTTCTTTCTTTTGGAGATTCAGTCCCTATCTCCCATTCATCTTACTCCATAGCTCCACCACCTACAGTTCCAGTTGCAGCTCCACCACCTATAGCTCCAGTGCCACCACTGAGTCCAGTGCCACCACCTAGTCCAGTGCCACCAACTATAGCTCCAGTGCCACCACCTAGTCCAGTTCAACCTTCTACAGCTCCACCACTCCTGACTTATAATCGTCGTCCGCGCCCAGCATCAAGCCCAGCTGATTCACGTCCTGCACCTGACCCTGCTAATAATGCCGACTTGTCTCCTCTTAATCAACCGATTGCACTACGAAAAGGTATACGGTCCACACTTAATCCTAATCCTCATTATGTCAGTTTAAGTTACCATCGTCTCTCACCATCCCATTGTGCATTTGTGTTATCTTTGTCCTCTGTTTCCATCCCTAAGTCGACAGGTGAAGCACTGTCTCATCCCGGATGGCGACAGTCTATGATTGACGAGATGTCTGCTTTACATACGAGTGGTACTTGGGAGCTTGTTCCTCTTCCTTCGGGTAAATCGACTGTTGGTTGTCGTTGGGTGTATGCAGTCAAAGTTGGTCCAGATGGCCAGGTTGATCGACTTAAGGCTCGTCTTGTTACCAAAGGATATACTCAGATATTTGGACTCGATTACAGTGATATTTTCTTTCCCGTGGCTAAAATTGCATCAGTCCGCCTTTTTCTATCCATGGCTGATGTTCGCCATTGGCCTCTCTATCAGTTGGACATTAAGAATGCTTTTCTTCACGGTGACCTTGAGGATGAGGTTTATATGGAGCAACCACCTGGTTTTGTTGCTCAGGGGGAGTCTAGTGGTCTTGTATGTCGGTTGCGCCGGTCCCTCTATGGTCTAAAGCAGTCTCCTCGAGCCTGGTTTGGTAAGTTCAGCATAGTTATTCAGGAGTTTGGCATGACTCGTAGTCAAGCTGATCACTCTGTATTTTATCGACATTCTGCTTCAGATCTCTATATTTATCTGGTCATTTATGTTGACGATATTGTTATTACCGGCAATGATCAGGATGGTATTAGTAAGTTGAAGCAACATCTCTTTCAGCACTTTCAGACTAAGGATCTGGGCAGATTAAAGTATTTCTGGGTATTGAGGTCGCTCAGTCTAGCTCAGGTATTGTGATCTCACAACGGTAGTATGCCTTAGATATTCTTGAGGAGACAGGAATGACAAGTTGTAGACCTGTTGACACTCCGATGGATCCGAATTCTAAACTTCTGCCAGGACAGGGGGAGCCTCTTAGCGATCCTGCAAGATATAGGCGGTTGGTTGGTGAATTAAATTACCTCACAGTGACTAGACCTGACATTTCCTTTCCTGTGAGTGTTGTGAGTTAGTTTATGGATTCTCCCTGTGATAGTCATTGGGATGCTCCCTGTGATAGTCATTGGGATGCAGTTGTCTGCATTCTTCGGCATATAAAATCAGCTCCAGGCAAAGGCTTATTGTTTGAGGATCGAGGCCATGAGCAGATCGTTGGATACTCAGATGCTGATTGGGCAGGATCACCTTCTGATAGATGCTCTACGTCTGGATATTGTGTCTTAGTAGGAGAAAATTTAGTGTCTTGGAAGAGCAAGAAACAGAATGTGGTTGCTCGGTCTAGTGCAGAAGCAGAATATCGAGCAATGGCAATGGCGACATGTGAGCTAATTTGGATCAAATAGTTGCTCAAGGAGTTGAAATTTGGTGAGATTAGTCAGATGGGACTTGTGTGTGATAATCAAGCTGTTCTTCCTATTGCGTCAAATCCAGTGTTCCATGAAAGAACTAAACACATCGAGATTGACTGTCACTTTGTTAGAGAAAAGATACTCTCGGGAGATATTGCTACAAAATTTGTGAAGTCGAATGATCAGCTTGCTGATATTTTCACCAAGTCCCTCACTGATTCTCGTATTAGTTATATATGTAACAAGCTCGGTACATATGATTTATATGCACCAGCTTGAGGGAGAATGTTAGTTTGATAGTTAAATAGTAGTAAATAACCCTAATCCCATAAGTATTAGGAGTAGGACATGTATTATATATATATATATATATATAGGGCTCATTGTATCATTGTCATAATTAATCAATAATATTTTCTCCCGTGCATTCTCACATAGTTAACTAAAACCAAGCAAATTAGCCGCTACTAAATGAAGAATGGTATACTGAAATTTCAAAGGCCAAAGGAGATCAAGCTAGCAATAGGAAATGGAATCAGAACAAAGTAGAGACTCGAAATGCAATAGGAGAGAAAGTAGTTAATGATGTGCCTTTCAAGAGGATGTGGAAGTGGCACACCAGAAAGTGTCTGACTGAGAAGTTCCGTTCTTGCGGTAGTGATAATTGAATTTTGTCCACACTGAACTACAGAAAAACTAGCTATTTGTGTAATAAATTGGATCTTGGAATACAGAGGCCACATATAAAAGGATGATCTAAGTTTACCTATTTCCCGACAAAAGAGAAGAATGAAGAATCAAAGCTCTGTTCTAATATCAATCAAAACCTTGTATATTTTTCTGATTTGTAAAAACATCTATTCACATCTTCAGTTTTTTCGGACAAACATTATCTGGTCTGGTTAATGTGAACAAAGAGAAGAATAAAATTTCCACTTACACGACCGGTTTCAACATAATTAGTGAGGAATTTGCTGAGGGAAATCAAAATCGGCACTTATTCCTTCCTAGAATTCCATATTCAACGATTTCCTAGCGCAATATCTTATATATATAATAGACTTACTGTAATATTATTAGGTTGAAATAATTAGAAACTTGTTTGCATATCATCAACATGCAGGTCCTTCCATTCCAAATCTTTTTCTGAGATTTACTCTCAGTGAACTGCCTAAGAGGAAAAGGATGAATGTCACTTACTGGGACAGAAATTGCTGGAAGCCCGAGAAGATTTGCTGTTATAGCAAATTGCATTAGGCTTGCTGAAAAGAATAGCAAACGAGTAACTATTAAGTAGTCTAAATAAAGTTACATCATCAGGAAGTGCTCATCGTAACAAAAAGAAATGTAGTAATATTGAAAATATTGTGTGAGATAAACAGTACTTCCAATACCAAAGTACAATACCTGTCTCCAATGCATGCAAAAATCAAATTTTGGTTTATGACCCATCGAATAGCCCAAATTGACCCGCCCTACTTTGACCCAAGCAAACTTTGGAGGGGTTATGACCCAACTAGTTTATTAGTTCAACCCATTTTAACCAGCCCAAATATAGCCCAACCCACCTATTTGACACCCCAGATGCAATCCATAGAAACCAGAAAATAGATATTGCAGCTAAACCACAAATTGGTATTTGTTTCCCCAAGCTTTGCCAGTTACCTCTACTGTATCACATCAACAGCAAGGACGTAGAGGATATAAAGGAGATGACGGAGTATTTCAGGAACTACTAACCACAAAGTAATAAAATGATGTTAACCTACCTACAACTTGCAAATTTGTCTCTCCAACTTCAAGAGCACTTTCTGGAATTTCTGGAGCTGTCATTCTGGAAGAAAAAAAAAATAAAAGTTATAAATTTAAGTGTCAGTTAGTCCTGAAACATATTGACATGAATGACAGTATACACAAAGTACTAGCCAGCTACTTTAGTTGAAAAAAAGGGAGATATAATTACTTGGGACTAAATTCAAAAATATTTTGTTCTATGATAGATAAGCCTCAGTATGTGTCCTTCTAATTGAACATGCACATTTACATTTGATGTGAAAACTCCATCAGTGAGATATTCAATGAAACTCCTGTGTAGATCATAACAACAGACAGATGTGATTCTGATCATCATGCTAAAATATATGGTACGAGCTCCTCTCAAAAGGCTAAAATATGGGGTACAATTTCAAGGACACGAGAAGTATCCTAATCTCTAATACTCTTATTGAATCATTCACTCAGACATTTTCCACATTAAGTGAAAAGAAATATATAACTCCTATTTTGCGCTAATCTTCTATGATTTTTGACTGTCGTTGAGTAAAATCTTATATCAATAGCAAGAGGACACCAGAAAAACCTCTTTTCTTGTGACATAACAACTATTTCTGAAACCAACTTCCTGAAACTTCCATCAACCAGAAGATTGAGGAAAATCGCCACCACTATCATGCAACTCAAAGGTCGGTTTAACTTTTAGTTCAACTTTCCAAATCATTGAAAACAAACACAGGTTTCCCTCTTATAAGAGCTCTTATACCATGTGAGATATGTGAAATTGGGAGATGCATAAGTACTATGTCTTATGATAAATCTAACAGAGATCAACCAACAACTCGCACAATACATGCAATGGATAGTAGCTACTATGCAACAATTTTACTTAACAGGATATGAAAGAAGTGTATTTATAGATTAAGGGCCCATAAAGTGCAAAAACTTAGTATACCCAGTGGTAGGTGTTACAATGACATCTACTTTCTTGAAAATCTCCATGTGGTAGTACATTATCCTTCGCCTGCAATAAGAAACATAGGCAAGCTGAATAAGTTGAACAAATTTTATCATATTTCTAAATGCAATTCTGTAGCGAGTGTTGAAATCCTTTAATATTTAGATAAAATCTAGTAGTACATCTGACACTTAACACGTTGCCAAACATAAGACAGAAAGAACCATTAGATGACACTTCACAAATACAAAGTAACTATGGAGTAAACTAACAATGAAATTAAAGGCGTGAACATGGATTCTAATGTGCTCTTCTAGAAGAAGATAAATTTGTTTCCATGCACAAACTCTGAAAATATCTTGTTCTAGTTGAAAATTTAAAATCAGGATACGAAGATGATAACTTTTAAGCTTTTACACACAATGAGCTTAAAGTGAGGTAAGCAAAACCTAAAATTACTGATGTAGTTAGAGCTAGGAAAGTCTATCTAAATGTAGAATCATACGTATATGCCACTGATCCACAACACAAATGCAGTTTTCACATCCCTAATTCGATATTAAAACAAACAGCAACTGAACAAATTGTTTCAACGTGTATTAAGTAATTCAGTAACTTATTTTTTACCTAAGGCGCTGGGCAGAAACATAATCTGATGCTGCAAATGATCTGAAGAGTGCTAGATTTGTGCGAGTATCATTAGTCAATCTTACTCCTTTCCTACATAAAATGAAAAAAAAGTTATATTAGTCCAAACTACAAGATTGCAAGCAGTTGAACAAATAGCTTGAATGGAAAATAGATATACCCATCCTCGCAATCAAGATTCAATAAGCATAGTGATTCAGATCCAAAAGTAACAGTATGGGCTGTGCGCAACTCACGAAGCTCCGGTATGACGATCTTTGTTGTCTTGATTGCAAAGAGTAAAGCAATAAAAATAGAATAACAAAGTTACATCCAGAAACTGAATCTGAATTTAAGCATAAAGTCCTCTGAAATAGATGACAAAGGGTAATAAAGGGTGATACGGACTTACTTTGCACCCATGCAGATGAAATAATTGGTTTAGGACATCTTCACACTTATCAGTTATGTCAGTTGAGCTAACATCATTAAACCACTGCAAAAGACGTGTCATATCAGACAAAGTTCAACCAAGAAGGTTAAAATCAACAACAACCTTAAGAAACCAGATGTGCAAAACCTTTGTATACTTTCCCAGGGTAAGTGATCCCAAAATGTTTGAACTCTCATTGGAAGATAAATCTGGTAAACAAGGGAGGGACTGAACAAAAATCAATTAATAATAATGTGAGTACAAAACAGCTTGCTTAATGCAGAGTACAACTTTTTAATCCAATGAAAAGAACTCATTCTGCATTGAACCTGCATCAACAGTCTCCTGTACAAGTATAGGATCAAACTAATCCTATGATTAAGATTGGTCTTTTATAGATATATCAAATCCACTTTGGGGACCTAAGACCTAAGTTGCTCGGACTCGGGTGCGGGTATCCGATACGGGGACAGATCCGAGTATCGGATTCGGAAAAATCTAAATTTTAAGATTCGGGGGTGCGGATCCGAATATGGATACGGGTGCGGGGATTCGGCTAATAAAACATAGAGCTATAAAAATATTGTAAATTTTGAGAGATATTCTGTGAAAAACTTACATGAATATTGTAAAATTCAATCTTTCATTCTCCAAGATGGATATTTATTCTTTCATTCTCCTAAATTTGTTTTATTTTTTATTTTGAGAAATCAAAATCTCAATTTTTCCCCCAAATTTGTCGATGGACTCCGGTCTAATTGTCCGAAGTCAGTTGACCGTATCCGAGACGTATCCCGCTCCCGCTTCCGTCCCCGTCTCGTATCGGGACGGGGACGGCACCAAAATCGAAGAGTCCCGCAACTTAGCCTAAGACAGCATGGTAACAATGGACAATTGTCACTTTTTTCTTCAGCAAGTTAACTGAAATAGTCTTCTATATGATACAAGTAGGGTGAATACTGCAGGATGGATAGGAATGAGACATTCAGCAGAAGAACACATCCCCAAACTGAACCAAGAGCAGAACAGGTCACTGACCCGCTGAAGAAAAATGCCCAAACTTCAGTTTTTAAGGTAATCAACATGCTTGAGTATCATAGGCGATCAACATAACTGCAATTTAGTGGAAAAATTCAATGTCGAAAAATGATCACTGCCCTATTTACAAATATTAGCTACAGTATTTACAGGAACGGAGGGGGGGGGGGGGGGGGGAAGTTCAAACTGGACCCTCAAGCAGAACAATATCTTGAAATTTTGCAAAAGTACACTTTGTGAGTGATTACAGGATTCAGTGGAATTCGATCAGCTGGAGAGGATCCTAAGATTGCTGCATACCTGAAAAGTTGGAAAAAAATAGCAATAATCAACACATATCAACTGTAAGAGTGGTCTTATAACCAGATCAAGAGCTTGACCAAATTTAACAAAAATTTATCCCCATATATACAACCTAATTGAAGAAAGTAGGACTCTGGTGGCATGCGTTAGGAAATTTACATTGTTTTGTCATGGTTAGGGTCTAGCATTGTTCCTTGGAAGCTGACTATCTTGGTGGCTTTATACTTTTTTCAGTACACTTCTAATCTTTAACTCTAATAGCCTTTGAACTCTAAAGGCATAGGGAGAAAATACATCTGACTTTCAGTACCTATTACAAGTATTCAAGAAATAATGAGATTCAAGAGTCTCTAAGCATATTTTTACTTAGAGTGATTTCGTGTATTAGTTTTCATGTAGCTCGCTTTAATATCTATTAGTAGAATTAGTTTCAATGATTAATGTACTCATTCTATGGATTCTATTTATGTTAAAACATATAAGATGACATTTCAATTGAAATAAAACTACTATAGCATATGAAGAAGTGATAAGGCAACTCCGCCAATTACAAGATAGATTATGCTTTACAATATGCTCATGACCGGAATTGACTATTTGTTTGTAAAAAAAGATTGGGTGAAACCAATTACTAACACAAGTATGGCATCCTCAACTGTAGCTGTGATGGGTCCAGCAATTGTGACTGTTCCTGCTTCCCACAGTGACCTGATAAAAGAACAGAGATGAACCAAACTATAAACTGATAAGATCAGATAGTAAAGCTTGATCTCAGACAAAAGACCAAGAAAGGTATGATATTGAATGTTAACATAGAGACTTGATAAAACCGAAATCCACAAATTACAGATAACTAAATATAGGAAAGGACAGTCCTTTAGGCTGTTAGAAAATTAAACTGTAGCAACTGAAGTTGGCAAGTTGTATAGGCAGATCATAGCTTTGACAGTAGAAAAGTTTTACCGGGAGAAACAATATATTCAGAAGGATAAAACCAATTTGGTATAGATGCACATTGATCTACACTTCATGAACTTACCCTGTCAGGTCAGTCCGTCCAAATGTTGTTTTCAAGCCGACAACCCCGCAAAGAGAAGCAGGAATTCGTATTGAACCTGGACTTCAGATGAATAAAGCCTGAAAATCTTATAATTATTTCAAAAGAAGATACTAATTCACTAGCCTGATATGTTATACAACCTCCACCATCTGTTCCCAATGCTGCTGAACACAATCCAGAAGCGACAATTGCAGCTGAACCTGAGGAAGAACCACCTGTGTATCTTTTTGGATTATGCGGATTTCCAGGTGTACTGCCATAGGAAAATGCTCATTAGTGATGTTAAAGGTAAAATATACACTCAACCTAAAATATACCCAAGCAGCATTCGTTCTTCAACATTCGCAAAACCAATGTTTAGCATTTATCTTTATCAAGTTTGCTTTAACAAAAAATGAATAAAGAAGTCATGTCAAAAGGTTCCACTTCTAACATTTGCTTATTTGTAGGTTCAAGGCAAAAGTTTACCCGTAATTCGGATTATTCCCTGTTGTGCCCATACCAAACTCATGCATATTTGTCTTTCCTACTAAAATTGCACCACTGCTTCGTAATCTTGACACAGAAACTGCATCTGTGTTTACCTGGCGAACCTCATGAAACCATGTAGAACCACCTGCTCTTTTTTACAGGGAAAAATTTTCAGCTAAAAATGGCAGAGATATTCGCAGAGGAAATGAGAAGTTAAACACATACCCTTTGAAGGATGAGGAAAGCAATCAATGTCATCCTTGACTGCAATTAAAATTCCATCCAAGATCGACAATGGTATTCCTTCATGACCACATCGGAATAAAACAAAAACAGATGAAAAGAAAAATGCTTCAGTAATGAGATCTACAGACTTGGCACAGCAATTCAAGATATGCTTTATTGCAGGAAATTAATATCAATCTTCAGCTTTTATTTGATGGCTTGTACTATAATTAAAAGATGCAAGAAACTGTGAATTGCAATGCGTAGATTCTCAGAACAGCCAATTTATGCGCATCAACAAATTAAAATACCTTCTTCAAATCTTTGAGTGGAAGCTGCAGCTTGCCTTCTCACCTCCTTGGGGTTGAAGGAGATTAATAATGGTGCTGAGGGCTGCTTATCATTAAGTACCTCTATTGCTGAGATAAAATGCTCTGCAACCTTTAGCACAATAGAGCTTTTTAGTACTCTTGAAGATGACCAAAATAGGAACAACCAATGGAAAGTCACTTGCCATAGATGGGGTCGTAAACTTAGATCTGTAAGCATATCCATAATCACGAATTTTCCAGTAGCGGAATGGGAACGGTTCTCCTGAACCAGAATTCCAACTGCTAGAAGGATCATAATGTGGAAGACACTTCAAGGCTAAATCAATCCGTTCTTCAGGTTTTACATCTTCTTCTAAGCAAACAACACCAGGCTCTGGATCTAAATTCATATACATACTAAATAAGTCAGTAACATTAGAAAAGCACCTTAATAATTCCTGAATTCCAACTTCAACAAAATCATGGAATGCCCACAGTGTTATGCTTCTTTCCAGTTACATGTCAGAAAATCAGCTGAGCATTAGTTTATCAACAATAATGTCATGCTCAAGGAGTGAAATCTAAGTGGTAAAAACCTTAGCCTCAGATATATAGGATAGCTATTAGCTCAAGAACTTTTGCTGGCAAGAAGTTTATAAGATCCACCAACTAATAGAAAAAAGAAGAGAGACAACACGGAGTAAAGTAAGATAGCCAAGCAGAGCCATCTCAATGGAATGACATATCCTAAAGGAAACGGTATCTTCCTACTCCAAGAAAAAAAATTATGTATACTAAACATACAATATACAACAACAATAACAACAACAACAACAACAACAATAACAATTAAGCATCAATCGCAAGCAAGTTGAGATCAGTTATATGAATCCTCCATATCCATGTCACTCCGTTTTGAGCCCGTTTCGGTCTAATATTATTATTAGAAAGAAAGAAAAAAGAGTTAATTTCACTAGCACTAGAAGTTATCTCCATTTTCTACCAGCATATAATGAAGGATATGGACATTGGGCCTAACTCAACCCCAAAAGCTAGCTCATGAGGTGATGATTGCCCAAGCCATAGAGGTAGTTCCACACACATGAAATTCAACAACAAGACCATATATAGAAAGAATTCGCTCACTTCTCAGCAAAGAGCATTCACATGCCACACAGATACACCTATAAGCTTGCCCCTAGTGTAATACTCCACTAATCGAGTCATTCAGTCAAAGATCAAGAGGTCTTTATAGGTTGTAATGTAAGCTGAGGGACGGGTAGGATATATTTGGATTATGTGACTAACCTCCCTAAGCACTTTTAATACAAACACTTCCTTTTATTATTGATTTCATGATCAACCACTTGTTTCTCCATATTTTGTTTTTACTTGCGTCACCCCATTTCCCGTTTGGTGCAACTGGCTACTTTTTCCTTTATACACACTTCCTTTTTTTTTCAGATTTATTTAAAATGCCAGTTCACTAATCAGACTTCATTCTTGATTTTCCCCTTTTCTCTTTTTTTTTTTCTTTCTTTTCTCCCCACCCCACACTTGACTTTTGTATATACTTTAGTGCTTCAAGTGCTTCTAGGAGGAAGAATTCAATTAGCGTATTTAAACACCACAATTTAGATCATTATAGGTTATCAAAGAAAAGGTTCAGGCTCAAAGGGGTTAACAATGGTATGATGCACAGGTGGATTTTCAAGCAATAAAGGGTTAAACAAAGAAATGCCTCAATCATCTCTAAAACTAAACGACTTCATTTCGCTTTGCAAACAACACAGGCAAGTTCTAGGTATCATACCGGCAAACATTAGATGCAAGTAACATCTCACACACACTTAGCAATGTAACTCATTCCGAATCAGTTCATCCACACAATCATACGAGTGTTCAGGCAAGACAAGATGTGCCAAAATAAGGCATATATATGAGTCTACAAACAAGCTTAGATGTCACACACTCAAGTTCTTTTCTATGAAGCGTACACATTGAGGTTACATTCTGACTTCACCCATTTATTCTTAAACTTTCAAAAAAAGAAAAATCTACCTAACCCGTTCAAGAAAAACCCTTGGAAAAGAACGTGGTCAAAAAAAACCAAGGGAGGTACTACACTACGCTAAAAGAAGAAAATAAAAAAATAAAAATCCTACATGGACTACTTCCTCAAGATACTGTCCAAGTGGTCCGTCCTCAGAAGAGTCCTCTACATTTTGTTCTTTTTTTTTTTTTTTTTTTAGATTCGACTATGACCCTCGAGAGATCCTGTCGAACAGAAGTCAGTACTTCTAAATGTGAGTACAGTCAATTATACAACACAAATCACTCTAAGTTACAACATAGACTCAAGTCTATATTACACTACAGATACAACTACCAAGACAAGTCTCCCACCCCACACTATAAATTATGGATGTCCTCATTCATCAGAATACAGTAAATAACAAGAAGGTAGAAAACTTCCCTGAACTCAATCTGACGCGGGACGGTACTGGATCGACATGCAGTCCCTTCCCAATGCACGCAGCCAAGCCAAAACTTGTTCTAGATCTATATGGCTTGCCGTGTAGACATGGCCCGTCAGCCTTGGGGTGTGTAGGACCATCCACCGAGGTGCGAAGATCCGCAACCTCTTCCTTCCAAAGAGCGCAACATTAGCCCGAGAGGACTGTACCGAAGTTAGGTTTGTCCCAGCATGAGAGCGCCAAGACGGGACAGCACATGTCGAAAGACCGACCTATGATGGTGCCAGTAGGGTACGAGCATCCTCCTCATCATTCAAATCCAATGTAGTGCGTTGCTCTCTGCCCACTCGGATACTGGAAGCTTTGAAAGCTTGCTTTTAGGTGAGCAAATCACATCAGCTGTTGGTCGGAGTGATTTCCTCATCCAAGTCATAGTGTGGGTGACCAAGGAAGAAAATAGACTCCTTAGACATCATTCGGGCCTGTAGACCATCAATCGCCATATCCGTGCGCATCGAAATCATTTCGCTGTCATAAAGCACCAAGTTACAATGCCCTGTTGAGTTCACGTCCGGTTTGCTAAGAAGGCAGAACCTGCTAACAGATAATCGTCAACCAACACTTAGCGAGGTGAGTGAAGGAGCCTAGAGTTGAGAGTTATATCTTCCTTTAGCCAAATAGGTCTCCCCTCCGTACAAAGCAACATCCTCATAACATCCATGTCACCCCAAGCCTGTCATGTGATAGTAAGTCAACATCGCCGGTAAATGGAGGCAACACTCAACACCCGGCGATTGTATCAATCTGCGCCTGACCACCGTTACCCGCCACAATCAACTCCCTACCCAAATTTTAATGGGCAGTTATGCATAAAATTCACGGAACCAACATCTTTGTTGCACAGTGTGCAGGGTCAGCAAAAGAGGAACTCCATTTCCCGCCTCCGGATCTCTTCATACATCTCCACACTTTCAGCTCGGAGCGCAGCCGATCAATCGGGATTTTCCTGAATGAAGTTTATTAGCTTTGGTACGGAAGTCATCCTCAGCATGTTTCCGATTGGAATCTAGATTCATCATAAAGTAGGTGCGTGAGAAAGGACCGCCAGAGCGCCTGTGCCTTTTTGGAAGCCATTTAATCCTGAAAACAGTTAACAAACCAGCATTCCATTACATGAGCTAAAGCCATTAAGGTGGTTTACTCAAGACTTCACCACCCAATGACAACAGCTATACAACCTACAACAGGCTCCGCCTTTTCAGTACCACTATCCAGCAACAGACACCCCAAACTTATTCCAGTCAATATTACCTCCAATATACAACACCACAAGAGATAACATCACTTTCCAACAAGTAACCTATACTAAACAAAACTACAACACAATCATTCTAAACCACAATTCACCCTACAACAACAACCAACCGGGATAATTACAATTCCTAAGTCCGGCCCGTAGCACACCCCCACCAATATACAACATCGTTGCCATCATTCACGGGTAACAACATGACCCCAAAATCAATATTCACCATTAAAATTAGTTTATGGTCCCCAAATACCAAAACAATTTTACAATTATAATCTTAATTGAGACCCAACCATTTGTTTGACACTAACAACCCCCCCCCCCCAACATCAAACTACAAAACTATACCCATAATAATCATAAAAGAAAGCAAAACCTAGACTAATCCTAACTAGGGTTTTAACTATATTACAAAAATTAAAAATTTACACTACTTAGGAAAATAAAGAAATTAGAGAGAAGAGGAGAGAGAACTTACTTTGAGCATGAAGAGGCGAAGAAATAATTGGAGTGTGGGTGGGATGGAGGGTGTTGAAGAAGAAGAAGAAGAAGAAGAAGAGAGAGAGAGAGGGAGGTTTGTGAATGGAGAGAGAATCTCCTCTT